CACATGCAGATGGGAGACTGGGGATTGAACTTCTGACCTTCTGGTTGGAGGACAACCACTCTACCCCTCAGCCACAGCCACCCCTAGCTGACAGCTGAGCACATGACTCCGTGTCCTGCATGAACTAATGCGAAGGGTTGCAGTTATTCACAACTGAGGATTGCAGGTAGTGTAGTATTCCTCCTTCACATCGCAAATAAAGAAACATTTTGCGTTTTGTTACCCAATCTCTATTCAGAAAATGCATTGGATGTAACATCACTGTGGAGCTCTATAGAAGACATTAAAAGAACATCAAAAGTGAATGTTCTGACAGTTGATTGATGTGGTGAGGTTAAGGTTAGGGATATGTATGAATTGGTCATGGTTAAGGTCAGAGAAAAGGTTTTGGTTAAGTTGTCCAGACTGAACAGAAGTCATTGCAAAGTCCTAATAAGAACGGCTGCACAAACTTGTGTGTGTGCATTCGATTTTATGAGTCTGTAATTATCACATGTCCAATATGTTGCCCCACAACGCTTTTGTTCATCTGTGTGTATGTTTCCATTACAGTTATTCAATCAGACTTGAAACTTAGCGTGTCATCAGCAAATAAACACTGAGCTCGGATTTATTACTTACTCCTGTTATATTAGAGTTCACTCACTCACATACTCTCAATGTGTTAGATTTGTACCCATATGAAATGACATCAGTCTGTAGAAGGTTAGCTTAGCACAACAAAGACTGTACTCCTTACTTTGCGACACCATAAGAATGTAGAGATCACAGTTGAGCGTAGCAAACACTTACTTTTAGTTTGTTAATACCAACTTCCTGTTGGACCTTTGTACTCAACTCATCAGAGTCCAGGACGATACTGAGCCAGGTTTAGGATTAGCAGTTGTTACACCCACACACCTAACAGTTACTGAACCATGCTGAAGTGATGAGAGAGTAGATGGAGATTGGACAAGTTTCTCTTGGGGATGGGTATCGACAGACAGACAACACGAACATTTAACAGTCCAGCGATTAGCTGTGCCTCACTGACTTGAAATGTGAGCGACTATTAGGTGCCAGAACATTGGAAAGACAAATCACTGAGGGTAAATGAGGAATTCTAACAACTGGTTGAACGTGTGATGAAGTACAGGAATATATCATACTGCTGGTTCTTGAATCAAATTCTGTTTAATCTCAGTGAAATTGCATTGCTGATGTGAAAGCTTATGTTTACTAAATACAGTTTTGGAAATGATTGATAATGTGCGAGAAAATGCATCTATTTTGCAAAAGACCTTCGGATTATGATGATATCATCATGTTATTATTGACAATTGCGGAACTGTAGCACAAACCCTGATCTTATTACTCTAGGACAGACATTTAGATGTATTTTGATAATATATGTATTCTAAGTCTGTTTAAACTCTATCGAATGTGCTTTACACACCAACATCCTTCTGACACTTAAGGTTAAGGCTGCATTTATTAGTTCAACTAACTGCTCAATCGGCATTATTCTTTCTTTTGTATTTTATAATTTATATCATGAATCAATCTTTAATTATGAGCTCTTTTTTGTCTGTTGCCTTTAGCTCACATCAGTAAAATAACAATGGGCTTGTAATTGTGTTTATAACCTAAAGCAGTATGGAATAATCACTGAAGCAGAGGGGAGAGAGGAGGAATGCAGAGTGGTAGAGAGTGAAAAGAGAGAAATGTGAATAAAACAGAGAAGAAAAAAATGAAATGAAACGAAAGGGAACCAACATTGAAAAGCTAAAGAAAGAATGAAGGGATGGGGAAGAGAAGAAAGAAATAAGGATGTGAAGGGAGAGAAGAAGAAAAGAGGGGCAGAGGAGAGAAGGAAAGATGAGGACAATGAACAACACAACTGTGGTTGCTGATGTAAATCTCCCTCAGGTTAAAACAAGATGATAATTAAAAATGTACCGCAGGGTCAAGCTGTGACTGTGCGTGTGTGTGTGTGTTTTCATACTATTTGTCTTTCTGTGTGTATTATTATTGTAGGTGTGTGTGTGTATGTATGTGTGTGTGTGTAGTTGGGGTTTAGGTTGCGGTGCCCATTAAAAGGTGTCCCTGCTGCAATCAGTGTACAGAGGCCTTAGGGCCTATTTGTTACTACATCAATCTAGCTTTAATGGAAACACACATCACAAGAAGGCTCACGTGCACACACACGTACGCACGCACGCACGCACACACACACACACACACTTTCCGCCTACAGTGCTAACATTGTGAGAGAGACTGCTGAACAGCAGGACACACACATGAATACACACATGTGTGCAGCGCACGCACGCACACACACAAACACACGCACGCACGCACACACACACACACACACACACACACACACACAAACAGCTGGTAAGTAAGCAAGCCAACTGGGCCCACATCAGCAAACACACTGTTAGTACACAAGAGAATCCTAATGAGATTTCTTTTCTTCAGTTTGTAAATTCTGTGTATATTCCTTTTCAGCTTATCATCATCAGAAATGTATAGGTGTTCACATTTATGAAACCTTTTGCTGTTATACCAACGCTTAAATCGTTTTTGCATTGGTAGATGCCAGTTCTGAGCTTCATGTCCATATCAGATCTAGATATAGTTTTCTCTAAATCAGAAAATCCCCCAGTGAAGATAAAACACAGGGAGAGGACCACATTTGAAAATGTCTTGGTTGTGACTGTCTGTCAGTTTTCATCAGTAGATAAGACACTGCTGCAGCGAGTCCTTTGCAGACTCTGTAAATGTTTTAGCACAATGTAAATTGGATTGAGTGCATATCTGCTCATAAGTCACTGTTAATTGCTGACTAGAGGAGATAAAAGAACAAAAACACAGCAGGACTGGAATGGGTAGAGCACAGACAGGCCAGTAGAGCAGCCTGCTGCTCACAGAGACACCATCTTTCCTGTCTGACCCAAGACACCAGACCCCTGGGAGCTTCAGGACTGCTGCTCAACTGAACCTGACCTCTAACTTGTATATAGACAGAGGCTGTGTTTGCCCAGGAGTTGTTAAAGTATCTCTTTGTTAAACCTGCAGGAACAATACCAGCTGGTGGGGGGATTTTGGCACAGTGGCCACAGTCAGAATTGCACATCATGTGACACCCACAAGCCCCGAAGGAGTTTTTCTCGACACATGAATCATTACAAAAGACATTAGAGTAAGGGAAGTTATCCAACACAGTCAGAGAAGACCTCAACTATTACCAGGAATTACATTTATATTGAACTATTCTGCACCTCGTGATTTTATCCAATGTCAACACTCAGTTATTACTGTTTCCTCTACGTAGTGAGGCTGAATGTGAGTGTGTAGTTTTACCATCATAATCAAGTTTCTCAGATACCAAATTTAACCACAGTTTCAGAGGCAGATCTGTAGGATTTTTCTAAATCTGGGGCCATAATGGAGCCACAATTTACACAGAGGAGCGAATATGTCCAACATCCATGTACAACACCCTGATTCATTGTTTACTATTAGCCCTATGGGTTTGAGCAAAGTCACACATTACTAAATGTATTTTCAACAATGTTCAAGCACATTGGGTACATCAACAAAATGTAGAAAATAAAGACAAGCTAGTTTTTGAAAGACAACTGACAGGAACACGGGCACTTTAGGGGTCAATCAGATTTCAGCCAGTGCCCACTGGCCCCGCCCCCATGCAATTTATACATCATAATAATCATAATCACCTTAATGAACCTTAACCAGTTTTTTTCACTCATTCCATTCTGTTTTCTGAACATCTGTCTCCACTAATTCACACAATTGTGTCTGTTCTTGCTGTGGTCATCCATGCGTGGCAGAGCTACCTTCAAATCATATTCTCCGTAGTCACCTGAACTTCTCATCACTGAGTTAGTGCAAAATATTTGAATTGACTGTAAAACAAGCAGTGTTTTATTCAGTATTTGGGGAGTTTATGGATGAGTTAGAATGTCAAAACGGAAACAAGAACCAGGTGCCACGCAATTTGGATTCACTTAAACAAAATCAACGAGTGATGACAACAATGCACTGACTACAGCTAGCCCGGGGTCGCTAACAAGTCCTACTGGCAGTGACAGCTTCACTGCAGAGGGAGGTGATTTGGAGGTGATGTCTACGCACCTGCAGTATATATATGTATATGTTATTTGGTTGTCACTGTGAAGGTAGATAAGGGAAAGAGAAGTGACATGCAACCTATGGCTGTGGGGTAAATCTTTCGGACATTACGGTTGTTAAGCTACCAAGGTTTACCAGAAAGGAAGAATTTTTAAAATGTTGGTAGTTCAAGTTTTTATGAGATCAAGGCAGAAGTAAAGTTTGTAGTCCACACCAGACGCTCCTCCACAGAAATAGACATTTGGCTATGGTTGCTATGGAGACACCTGAAAAATGACTAATCTGCTTTGGCTTCATTTTGTTCTCTGCTTCACGTTTCTGATGTCAGTTGGGACAGGGTTTTGAGAGTGAAGACAACTTGGAGCAAATTGAAACATACATTAATAGAAAACTACTGCCTGCACTGACCCCCACTCACTATTTTTTTACCTGAAGGATGTAAGTGTGGCAATGAAACAGAACTATGTCATATTCAATAATAGTAAGGTGGATGACTGTCACCTGCCTCTATCCCAACTCAGGTATCAGGTAAAAGTATGTTTTCTTTTTTTACTTTAAGTAGGGGTGACATCCAGCTCTGAACAATAAATCAAAACCTTCGCTGCAGGTGTCTCCTGCTCGACTCCTGTTAAACCCTTGCACCAACTCAGTTTCCAGCTTCGGGGTTCATTTATGGCTGAAGGTCAAGCGAGGCTAGCACTAGGGCTGTTCAGGGACAGTGAAATATTGAAGTGTCCATCGCAGTGTTCTAATAAGGATGCCGAAACACCACAAAAATGATGGAGACATTTTTAAAATGAGGACCTCAAGCATGACCACTTTATTCCAAGAATAAATAGAGAGGAGGTGTTGGTTCTTACCAGGCGTGATTTCTATCACTGTGTCTTGCCTCTCTGGGGGAAAAAGGACCTTGGGAGGCTGCGTGGTTTGGAGAGCTGAAAGACAAACAGAGGGGTAGGTTAATTATCAGGGCAAGCGTAAGTGGCAGTTTTAAACTAATGAGCTTTGCCTCTGGTGGACATAGACATCACATTATAAGCTCATCAATCCCCACATAACAATTCTTACAATCTATAAACCACAAAAGTGAAGGAGAAGCCCACTTTATTTCCTCAATTCACAACACATTGAATTTTTAATATGTATCACTAAGCATGTCTTAATTCTTGAACAAGAAGTCATAACATTGAGAGTTTCATTCATTCGCTGTAGCAAGTAACACAGTTGATTGTCAAAAGGTCTTTGTCTTCTTCTCTTGCAGAAGAATTTTCTTAGACGAAGGAAACTAAAGAGGAAACATGAAGACTAGAGTTGGAAATGCAAAATATTAGATTGTAGTTCTGAGGTTTGTTTTTGGCAAAGAAGACAAGCTCTGTATGTGGATTCAGAACTTCACAGCTACAGTGTTTGTGAGAAAAAGTCCATGTAACGAATTGACCGTGTGGCACCAACTGATCACTTCACCACAGCATCACAGAGCCAAACATAAAGAGTGTCACACCTACTAGATATCTCACATCATGCGTTTTATTGTGGACAAGATGTCTGACTTTGTTTCCACTCTGATGAGCAGCAGACACTCTGCCTCAAACCAAAGCAATTTTCAATGGACTCTGAGCACCAACTCATTGCTGTTTAACACCTTTCCCCTCACTGCCTCCGAGACAAGTCCCTGATTTGTTTCAGTATCTCCATTATTCCTCAAAGCTGAGAGTAAAGCACCTGCCACTTGTTTTGTGTTTATAATTGAGAAGTCGATCTCTGGTGTCATTGATAGAAATGATACATCACCTGATGATCATCGTGATACACTGCATCCATCAAGCTTAGTTGAAAGTGTCAAAGAACAAAACTGATGAAATTAATGAACGATTGGCTTTGACTAAAAACAGCATGGAGCAACACCCATTTTCGACATCCCAGCAGTGGTTGGTAACACTGTAGTTTGGTTGAGACTGAAAAATGTCAACAAATATTGGATGGTTTGCCATGAAATCTGGATTCAGACATTCATGGTCCCTAGATGAAGAATCCTAAATGATAAAAAGGCCTGCATTTAAATTGAGCATTTCCTTTTGGATTTTGCACATGCACACACAAACTCATACAAACTGATGACAACAAGCTACCAAACCAGATGCTGGTCTAACCACCGTGAGCAATTCACTGTCTTGTCCAGTGTCTCTCGACAGGTGGACTAGAGGAAGTAGGGATTATACAGCCAACCCTGTGATTAGTGGACAACCTCCTCCACCTCCTGATCCTCAGCCACTTTATGCTTTCCTATGTCGTTTGTCACCCTAATGACTTTGGTGATACTGTTTCTGTGGCATTACCTTGAGGTTGGCACTTTCACTGCAGTGAAATGTCAACTGTTTGATGAATTTCCATGAAATTTTGTGAGACATTCATGGACCCCTTGAGTGAACTGTAACAACTGTGTTGATCCCTTCATCTCTCATCTAGTGCCATCATCAGGTCAGATTTTTTATTTCTCCAAAACTGATCAATTAGTGCAAGTGCAATGTAAATTAAGTTTCCCCCTTTTCTAAACTAATTTTAATTTAACAATCTCAACCATTTAAAAAAAAAACATATATTAACAACTTAACAGCTTTAACACCTACTTTTCTTTTGCATTCATTGTCTCTTATATCACATCCTACTTTTCTTGTTTAGCCGGTCCTGATCCAGACCAGGGTCTACCTATTAGTGACATTCTACGCTCTCACAGACCAGCCAGCATGGCTCTCATCTACTTTTAACCACATCGTCAAGCTCGAATATGTCAGTGAGAAAATGATGCCACTTGAAAACTGTCATCAGTTTGATCTTTCATTAAACATTAGAGAGCAGTCACTTTGTCCACTTAAATTATTTTACCATCAGATGTCTTGGGAGGGGAGATTTGCTCAAGCTGCTGAATAAAGGGTACGATCAATTTGAAAATGTACATTTACATTGACAGGAAGGTGTAATGCTCTAAAGTGTGTTCACATTACGATGAGTCAGTGTCAGTCCACAGTTCTCTGTGTAAATATTGGTCCACTTGTCATCATATTTCTTGCACGGTCACACTAACATGCACATTAACAAAGGTGTTTGTGAGCTTAAAAATGAGTTCATTACTCTGACTGACTTACATTGGTCTAAATACTAAATACTCTGAGTTCTCAAGGTGACTAGAATCCTCCTACTGATAAATATTTGTCTTGGCTTCCTTGTTTTTCAACTTCTTCCTCCAATCACTCAGTCAATCTCTCTGTCATTCGATCCCTCTCTCTGTCCCTCTGATAAGACCGAAAGTTTGATTTGCATTCTGAAGGTTCTGCTGCACCCTTTAAAGATTAATGAGACAACCCTTCACCTAGACCTACAACTGTCCTGCTCTGCCCTTTATTATCATACTGCACCTTCCCTGTTCAGTCCTTTTCTTTCCTCGTATAGATTTTTATTTTGAAAATGTCATTTCATGCCAGAAATGACTGTTTCAGGCTGGATATGTGTTGTGTTTATCGGGGGTACACAGGTGTATTTGCTTACACCTGTCTGCTATTTGGCGACTGAACTTGAGAGTGTCACAGTCGCAGAGGAGGCACAGTAGGAGTTCTGTCATAGTGATTAAGTAGTGGTGCAGTGCGTCTCTCCTACATAGATCCATGTCTTTATCAAATGACATACAACAAGCAAAGGAAAGTTTTGCCTTGTCGTGTTGTGCTACTTAGATAAATTGTTTGCTAGCAACACCACTGGCTACAAAATGAGCAAAAATCAACCAAAATCACCAGATGCACCAAAGCCATGTGCCATTAAATCAAAAAAGCCAGCTTTCTGAAGTGTTGTGTGTGTTTGTGTATGAGGTGTCTGTGTTAACCTGAATACAAATCTGAATATCAAAAGGTGTGTGCTGAATGGAGGATAATGATGGGGTTGCTGTTTACTTTGAGCTCACAGCACACTTTGCACCGCAGACACACACAATCATGCATTGAGATCTTTGAACTTTTCGTAATGGTTGCTTGTCTTGAAAATTACAGTACACTGTTGATGTGTTGCTGTGTTTGTGTTGAGGTCTGGTTGTGCAGGGGGAGATCATTTGTTGAAATTCTCTCATGTTTGAGGAAACATGGATATTAGACAAAGCAACCGCTGAATTTGATTAGTTTTGCTTAATCTTGCTACATACGGTGATTATATGAATCAACCTTCAAAAAAACAGAAGTATACAAATATAGGACGGGGAACTTATAATTTATATGAGGTTAAATATCTGCTGAAGCCTTTAGCAAATAATAAATAATCTAAAAGCTCTACCAATCAATGTTTTTAGCCAATTTGGTCCAATGAATGAAGCTGAAATGCAACATTGTAATCTGGTTGTTGCAATGAATAATAATGGTTAATTGTCCATTAACACATCCGGCATCGGTTACAATAGACTGTTGAATATTTATTTTACTGCCAGTTACATTTGGATCTCTAACATTTAAAAACTGCTGCTGGCTCTTCAGCTGCCAGATGCTCCTCAATGTTCACCACGTGCTCTGATGTTCGGTGCTGAACAGGTTTGTCAGATTTAAGAAACTGGCAGAAACCAGCTGTTTGCTGTAAATTGATTGATAAGAACAGAGTTACTAACTGTAAAAAGCTTTTCTTATATTTTCAAATG